TCTCTCTCTCTCTCTATTAAAGGGCATCACACTACAGTTAATTCTATTCACATGCATGTGAATGCCGGTGACCAGAAATGCAAGCTCATGTGAAGAAGTTTGGCAAAAATGTAGGTCACACTTAATGGTCCAATTCTTGCTATTAACAAAATATTAACCATGACATTTGCCTCAAACTCCTAATTAGCTGTTTATTGATAGTTAGTAAGGTAGTCGTTAAGTTGAGGTATTTGGTAGGATTCGGGATGCAGAATATGTGCTTTATAAGTACTAATAAACAGCCAATATGTTACAAACTAGTTAATAGTGAGAATTGGTCCCTATACTAAAGTGTTTACTAAATTTAAAACCTGTATACATGTGAATGTTCATTATTTTCATAAACATTTTTAAATACATTTTTCAAGGTTAAACATTTTTAACAAATAGCATAAATTATTCATTCATAATAATAATTCATATAATTGTTTGAGTGGTTGTACCATATGAAGTTATATATATATTTTTTTTCTTTATTTTTTTTGCACATTGGTTCACCATGAATTTGATAGGCCGAACAAATGTTTTTCAAATATTTATATTTTCACAAAGCTGCTTTACTGCGTAATTATTTTCCCTTTTTAACAATAGATTTAGTGACATTTTAGGAAATTACAAATTAACAAAAAACGATCATCCTCAAATGAGGCTTTTTCTGTCATTGCAAGATCTAAACTGACAGTTTTTACTTTTTAACAATATATTTATTGAATTTTAATTAAAAAAAAATTCTTAAAGCTTTTTTTTTCTTTATTATGATACTAGGAGGAGCAGCTTAAGTCTCACGAGACACGGTTTCGAGCCATTTCTGCTGAGCTCCAGGAACTGCGCTCTACGCCCCAAGACCGCAAGTCCAAAAGTAGGGACCAAGAAGAGTACAAGCAAAGGGAAGAGTACATGGACTTTGAGGTAAAAACATTTTTTACTATACTCTTCCTTCCTTCACTCTTCACTCCATTTATACATCTTCCTAAATGTGTCTCATAGAAAACACGCTACGGAACATATGCAATGCTGCTGAGAGCTAAGATCCGCATGGGGGAAACGGACCTGGAGGCGTTTGAGGCTCGTTTGTTTGATGACGGCGGCCTGCAGAGGGCCCACTCCAGCCCCACGTTACCCCAGGACAACAGCTATGCCAGCAGCACCAAAGAGTCGAGCAGGAGCAGCGGCAGCAGCAAGAGGACCAAACGCTCTGACAGTCAGCGACACAGCAACAGACAGGCTGTCAAATAGTGAGAGAACCCAAGCGGAAGGGGTTGTTTATCTCTATTCATGGGCTGAATATAGAGCGCTACCAGGACGGCTGCAGTTTACTTTGATGGCTGTTCTCAAGTCGTCATGATTACGAAACTGTGGTTGGGGTTGCTGTGCCCCACGTGACCGCTGGTAAAGCATGCTCTTCTGGCCAGTAACCGCAAACCCAGATCTGCCAGTGGGCAGATGAGAAGGAGCACCAGCCTCACATTGTCTTATTTCTGTCAGTCTGTGTTTTCGCCACAAACCTGTTTGGTTTATCTGTGTATTATGCTTGTTGATCGTCGGTTTAAACACTCGTGGCTTTTCATTTGAGCAAGCTGAAGTGCAAACTTCATCTGGTGGCCCTGGGAGCGACAGCCAAATGAGAAGCGAGTCTCTTTATTGTGTGGACATGTGTTGTTCACTTATTGAAAGCATTGTAGATTTTGCTTTTTAGATAATTTCATCATTTGAGGTCGATCAAGCGCTTTAACTCCTTATGGGAAGTTCAAGAACTTAGTCTGTATAGTCCTTTAAACCTTCTTAAAGCACGTCTCAAAGCATGCCTAAGATGTTTGAAGACAATCAGTTCCTCATTTGGTATAATTACTAAGAATATGAATGCATTATTTCTCTTTATACCTTGATAGCGGACTAGTTATAATGACAGTGCAAATAGCACATACCTTGTGAAAAATAAGTGTGGTTAATTGTAGTGTACTTCAAATCTTAAAAGTGTATTTTTAAGAAACTGTACTTGAGGATAATATAATATTAATGAAATTAAGGCCGCTTATGTGTACCTAGAGTACAGTTGGTTAATTGTAGTGTACTTCAAATCTTAAAAGTGTATTTTTAAGAAACTGTACTTGAGGATAATATTAATGAAATTAAGGCCGCTTATGTGTACCTAGAGTACAGTTTTTTTTTTGTCTGTTTTGTAACACTTTGTAATGATGTCAGTTACTTTAAAGTACATTTAAGTCATTGTTTTAATCTTTTATTGTGTTTTAAAGTAGTACACTTATTTTGATGTATTGACTAACATAGTAAAGTACTTGATTAAAATTCTATATATTACATTTAAGATAATTATATTTTAAATGTACTAAATTGCAACTTTATTACAAATGTGTAATTAGAAAAATGTTTTAAATATATGATATGCAAGTTTTAGCAGAACATTAAAGTGTATTTTAGTCTACCATAAATGCTTGTCAGTATATTTTAACCGTATTTTAAAGGCAATTGAATTTATTATGAAACTACAGATAACGTGAAATGCAATTAATTGTATTTAATATATTATTGCATTTAAACTATAATACATTATCATTTAATTGCAAAAAGCATGCAACTAGGTGTCCAATAAGTACTCTTTTTAAAAGTATGCTGAAGTGCACTTCTTTTTCACAAGGGATTACTTTACGTGCTGTCATCATTTCAACAGGAATGTCTGAATGACTTTACTCAGTGCACATTGACACAATGACCAATTACCATGTGAAACGGATGTTAAAATCCATCACAATAATCGACCCCATCGTATTATGTAGTGTAATGTGTATTTAAAATACGTATTGAGTTTGATAATGACGTGATGCAAAATCTTTGTTGAAACCCTTTGGATATGGCCGAGCCATTGAATTCTCAGGCACTTATTTTCAAATTTATGATCCATTCAGTGCTGTGGTGAAACAGGAGGCACTAAAAGCTGGGTTGTTCAGAGTAGCCACGTCTAATACCTCAATTGCACTGAGAGACCTGCTCAAGGGAGTGTCATTTGGTCGGAAATAATTCTACCTGTTTACAAACTGGTGTGTTCTTATGTTCAAATGAATTTGTGTGAAGTATTGCTTTATAGGAGAGTGAAGGTAAGCTTCTGTGCTGCTTATCATAACCTCATGAATTGTTCTGTTGATATCAGAAACATAACTGATCCAAGAAATTGTAAAACCTGTAAAACAACACTCTAATGCAAATCCAGGCCATGAAGATCTAAACTGATTGTTAACACTGCCAGCGTATAGATCAAATGCAGACATTTAGGACACAAAAAACAAAATGACTTTGACATGATCTGGGACCCAAATTCTATCAAATGGCACTTCAATAGTGTTACGCTTCACTGCACTATGAATAATAGGAAGAGTTATTTATATATTTTGAACATTCATTATCTGTCTTGAGTATTTGTTTATGACTCAAGCATATTGACTAAAAATTTCTATACAAGTTTTTATAGGGAGCACTCGACCACTACAAGTAGTTTAGTGTCACCCAAAGATTTTGCTGTAAATGTAACTTATAAGAAATAACTTAGTTTTTGTGTTTGGTGTGTTATCCATTCTAGTTGTATATAATGTGAATATTATGTTACAGCCACTCAGTAAAAAATGCTATTATGTTTTGAAGGCATAGGCAAAATAAATCTGTTTTGAAAAGATAACGGTTTCATTTGATTTTTGAAAATACTTTTACAATACTAATACAATTATTATATTCTTATGTGTTGAGTCTCTCAAGGCTGCATTTTGAGTAAAAACAGTACTATTGTGAAATGCTGTTACAATATAAAATAACTGCTTTGTTTTTATATATATATATATTAAAATAAAATGTATTCCTGTGATGGCAAAGCTAAATTTTCAGAAGCCATTACTAGTCTTCAGTGTCACGCAATCCTTCAGAAATCATTCTAATATGCAGATTTCTTATTACTATATTTATTCAGTCAACATATAAGACACAGAATAATGAACTTTATTAAAACACAAACATATTTACTCTGAACAAGTGTATAACTGCAACCAAACATACACATAAATAAACAGTATTAGATAGATGTATCCAGATGTATCAGAAAAGGTTGCATATATCTAAACAGAGCTTACTAGAAACATTCATATCAGATCATTCTGCAGAAATATTTCAAGATTACAGCTGTGGTTGTGAAATGACAGTTGCTTTACAGTGAAATCTCAGGAATCGAGTGGTTGTTTAGATAAAAGTACTGAATTGTCTGCACTAAGACTATAGCTTCACTCCAGACCAGGGAGATTTGAGTATCTTAAAGCAACTGATTTCTGTCATGTTGTCTTGCTGTTATGTAATACCAGCGAGGGCTTTTGACCTCAAAACGATCCTTTTCAATTCCTCCCGTGCTGTGCCGTATTTCCACTTTATTGAGATGATGAACAGTCCACCAGTTCGCACCTGAAAAACCAGTCAAATAAAGTGCCACGTTGTCCTCAAAGAACAGATCCTGATAATCAGTGATTGGCCACTGCAGGATTTCCCATCTCCTCTTCAATGGACTGACTCCCAAAGCCACTGTCCTCTTTAGAATCTGGAAAGGAAAAATGTTTTATTCACAATCTACTGATTACAGATTTTATGTCGGTGTCAGAAGTGAGAGGAACCTGTACCTGTGCTCTGCTTGTCCTCTCTGGGTTGGCTGTCTCTCAGCAGTCTCACTCCTTCACTCACACCCAGAGACTGCAGCGCCTCCACCAGGCCGTCCACAGGACCACCACTCAACTGAACAAGCAAATAAACAAGCTTAATAAATCATTCATAAAGGATGCCAACTTGACGCACAAATACAAAATCCTTCTAGCCAGACAGATACAATCTACAACTCTTCTTCTTAAAATTTTTTATATATATATATATATATATATAACATTAAATACATTTATTAGATATTAAAATATAATATATACTAGTAAATACTAAATACATTTATTAAAATGTATTTAAAATGCATTTGTATGCATGTATTTGCTTTACATTATTTGTGTAAGAAGCAATCCATTCTATATTTAATATTTTGTTAGAGAAAGTCTTATCAGTTAAACAAAAAGTCAAAAAAATATGTAAATCTACACTAGGTACTTTTTAGTACCGTTGGAGCATAAAATTAGCGGTTGGAGCATAAAATTAAACATTTCCTGCGGAGGAACATCTTTTTGGTAATAACGTGATTTGTCCTTCGGGAGAATCTAACGGCTTGGGTCACGTGCTGTGCACATGGTGGTTACATATGGAGTCAATATAATGCGGCATATATATGTGGCATTATATTGACTCCATAGTTACAGGTTAAATGCATTCGTGCTAATCTCACCGATTATATTAAATTCCCCCCAATAACCAAAGGCAAACTGATATCCGAAAATATGTTTTATGAGCCGGTAAGTTGCAGCTGCCGTTTTGACAATTGTTTTAAATCAAGTTTACAAAAGTTTTTATATCTTACTGATATTAGACTTAATGATTGCAATTCATATCAGATTACAGTAGAAACTATTATTATTTGGCTGGTAGGTAATAAGGAAAATAGACCAAATTAAAAACTGGTTTAGAGATTACCAACATTAACGCTTTTTGTGAACCTTGTCACTGCGTGCACAGCAAATGTAATGCTATGCAAACTATAACAATTTCTGAAAAGCGGTGTTTTAATACTAGCATTGTGGCTTTCCATTTTTGCTAGCAAACTCGTCAGTGTCCATTTGTTGTGGAGTCAAACTGTTAGGACACCTTCCACTGCATATAGTAGTGGTAGCTTAGTCTGGCTTTATTTTTTATTTATGAATATGACGTAAACACAGAAAGATGAATGACAGAAGTCTGCAGTTTCTACAATTATTATAAAGCTAGTGATTTGAAGTAAGGCAATACACTGTTTCGAAGACATATAGGATGTAGTTTGGTCAGTGTTTCAATTTTGTTCATTTCAAACAAAAAAAAAGTTATTTCAAATGCAGTTATTTCAAAAGTCAAACCAAATGCAGTGCATTGTGGGATACAACAAGGAGTCAAATGTTTATTTGCCAAAATGTGTATTGCACATTTTGGCAAATAAAATGATCATCCAAGTAATCCATGCATATAGAAAATTTGCGTAATGTGCCACATACTTTATACTATAGAGATAAAGTCATCAGTATGCTAGTATGCTGTTCCAAACAGCAACTTGCCAATGCCTATTTAACATATAACAGAATTTGCCAATTCGTGAGAACAACGACAGTCTCTTACCTGGTAGTTCTCGAGAAGCTTCTGGCAGGGTGAGGCACTATCCTGGTACAGGTGAGTGAGTGTGAGCATGCCCAGTTTTTCCGCCAGCTCTCTCCAGGGTACGTGGTCTTCAATGAGAATACTACACAGTTTCGTGAGCACCTCACTGTCCAAACCTTGGTTCACTGTAGGAGGACCAATACAGATCAGTCACATGCTAGAAGCATGAGTTTGTGAGGACATAAAGCATGCATCCAAGTCTCATTACCTTCCTCAGTGCTTATTTTGGTCCTCTTGGGGGCGAGTGAACTGGGCTTTGGACCTTTCCTTCCATCTAAAAGATCTCTAACCTGAGGAAGACGGTGGGGATTCATGAGGTTAAACCTATAACATGTATTTATTCATCCACCTTCAAATGTTCACACGTTATACTTGGATATTACAGATACAAAAGTTGAAACCTTTTGGCATTTGGCCAGATCAAATGGTGTGTGTCCCGCAGCAGGTCTCTTGCGTGGGTTAAATGCTCTTCTTTCAGATGATATCGACATGCAGTGAACTTGCTGAACCATGAGATCTGGAAGCTGCCTGTCGACTTCATTCTTCTCGCTCTCGTCATCTTCATCTGAGGAAGACGAGCTCAGGAAAAAGAGAGGCTCGTCGTTCTCCATGCGTTTATCAGCACCTAAAAAAAGAAGACAAAGGTCATTAATCAAACAGCTTTAATCAAACATAATTAATGAATGTCATACATTATGAAAATGTGGACAAAGACCTTACTAAAAATCACATGCTATCCAGTAAATGTTCATCTTCATCATGAGCAGCCTGACCATGTTCTTAATGACATTTCATTGTGGTTTCTAGGCCTTCACAGATGTTTAAGTACCTCATATTTGTATTAAATTTGTAGGAAAGAAGGTTTCTCAGTTACCTGCAGCTATCAGCATGGAGCAGAGAGGTGGGGAGCCCTGACTGGCAGCAAAGTGAAGAGGACTGTTGCCCCCGTAGGTACACGCATTCACATCAGCCTTCAGCTATAACAGAAACAACAAACATTACATTTTGTGGTGGCTTTATGCTTAAGAAGTGTTAAATCAGGAGAAACCGTTCCAGTATTTCATCACAGTGATATTCGAGAATGACAGAACTATTCATATCTGTTTGATTATGGTGATGTAAAATACACTTGTTCAAAAGTTTGGTGTCAGAAATTAATATTTTTATTCAGAAAGGATGCATTAAATTTATCAAAAGTAAAATGCCATTCTTTTAAACATTTTATTCATCAAAGAATCCTGAATTTTTTTTTGCAAGTTTATTTACAATATTACTGTTTTAATGTATTTTTCATCAAATAAATGAAGCCTAGGTGAGCAAAAAGAAGTCTTTCAAAAACATTTAAAAAAGACCTCAAACTTTTGAACAATAAAGTGGGTCATCTTTATCAGTCTCAAATGTCCTACTTCGTGATACCCTAATAGTGATGTAACAAGTATTTACTGAACTAAACTGAAACTATGGCCACAGAAGAACTAAGAAATCTGAACTGTTCAACCCTTTAGCACTCCATAGGTCCTTTACCTCGGTAATTAGATAACAGGCCAGTTTTAAAAGGTTGTCCCTCACTGCCAGGTGTAGTGCGGTGCAGCCACTTTTCTGCTCTGGCATGTTAATCCTTGCTCCTGCCTCCACCAACAATCGAAGACAGTGCTCTCCATCTTTCTTTACTGCAAGATGGATTGGATATTGACCTAAGAAAGAGGTAAAAAAGATGTTCACAGCATGTTCACATGTGTGATGCAACCTGAAGCGCCATTTCAGTGAAGACTGAGAGACAATTCCATGTGTATGTCTCACCTGAGAAGTCAGCAGAGTTTATTAAATGGGCATGGCGCTCTCCCAGCAGACCCAGGATCACTCGTAGTATGGCCTCATCACCGGTGTGAGCGGCCAAGTGAAGCGCTGTCCGGCCCTCCTGGTCCTGCAGGCTCGGGTCTGCACCTGTTTTTATCAGCATCTCAACCAACTTGGCCTGCTTTGTGATCACAGCCAGATGCAGTGGAGCCTAAAGAAGAAAAGAAAGATGAACTTTACATGACATATGAAACCAAAATAAAAATTAAATAAATATTCAAATGAAATAAATAGCAAAAAATTCAAAAATATTAATAGAAATTAAATGAAAATTCTTAAATAACAAAATACAAATCTCTTAAATTTTGACTGGTAGTTTAAAAAGAGCATATATCTGTTAAATTACTTGATTGAGGTTGTTGAGTTTGTTGATAAACTTCTGCTGTGGAGTGTTGTTCAGGGCCTGAATAAGCTGTTGTACCACACCAGGTTGCTGATGGATAATGGCCAAGTGCAAAGGACTATGGAAAAATATACAATGCAGATTAAAATTTCAAGTCTGATCACAATTGTTTTACACTTATTCCCCCTCTTCATTCCATCTTCATTGTTAAACGTATTAAAAACGTCACTACACTGTTATTTACATTTATTCATTAAGCAGATAATTTAATCCAAAGTAATTTACAATACACTAACTATACTAGAAAAGTAAAAAAAATAACCAAGTATTTAATTTAGTATAGTCGACGTGTTAAGGCAGAGATGTGAAAAGACATACGTGTCTCCGTTCTCATCTTGCACTCCACACAGATGTCTTTGCAGAGCCAGGAGAGGGCGCACATCCCCTGTGCTGCAGTACTGTAACAAAGCACGAGCAGAGCACTTTGCCATCAAAGTAGCACGACTCTGCAGAGCTGTGGCTGGAAACAATACAGGAAGGAAATATACATCACTGAGCGCATATGCACCTAAAATCTCAATGTCTTGAGTTTAGCTAGCATAATTCTACTCACCAATCTGAAAGAGCTGCTGTTGCATTTGAGAGCCAGACTGAGTTTGTGTGTTTGTCGACTGATTCTGAGATGTTTCAGCCTGTGGGGTGGAGCCTGACATCTGTGCCCCGCCGCTAAATCCACTACATCCACCAGCGAAAAACCCTGAACCATCCATCGGATTAAATTGAAAACCTAAGGGTGAAATTGACTATGTTACATATATGAACGGAGGAATTTAATTGGCAATCTACACAGGAAGCCTCTGAGTTTAGGAATATAATATGCTATACCTCCTCCCATTCCTCCTCCTCCTGTTCCAGATCCAGGACCTCCAAAGGCCCCTGCTCCTCCTTGAGGTCCTCCCCGCCAGTGATCGTAGGGCTGAGGAAGTGCCTTCATCCTCTTCCTCTGAACCTCTTCTTTGTCTGTGGCGAAACAGGAGCCAACATGTCATCAAATGTGAGAAATACATCTGATGGCTCAAAACTACTGATTGGGGTTAGTAAGTTTTTTAGTAAGAAATTAATATGTTCAATACTGTTTGCCGGGATGGATTAAATTGATCAAGAAAATGTCAGCAAGACATTTACAATGTTACAAAAATGTTCTATTCTATTAGATTTCAAATAAACACTGTTCTTCTGAACATTCTCTTCAAAATATTCTGAAAAAAATATACAAGGGTTTCCACAAAAATATTAAACAGCACAACTGTTGTTATTAACATTGATGATAAGAACTGTTTCTGAATGATTTCTGAAGGATCATGTGACATTGGGTTAATGACTGCTGAAACCAACCACAGACGTACATAATGTACATAATGCCAAAAAGGAAGTGAAACAATTAATCTATTGAATGAGATATAAACGGTCCCCATACGTATGTTAGAACAGTTTTCCGTAATCTGTTGGTTTAAATGCTTTATTCAGTTTAAGGACTATATGTTTAATATAGCACTACTAACCTTGATTGTGAGGAATATACGTGAACTGTTTGGGTTCGCTGCAGTCGCCTCCCTTCTTCCTCTTGAGCTGCAGGAAGACCGTGACAGGACGTGTGATATCTGTGCAGCGGTATGGTGGGGTCTTAAACACAATCGCATACTGATGGGAATAAAAACAGTGTTATTAAACATTCGTTGTAAAAGTCTAAACTGCCTCTGATGGCAAAATCTGGAATAGTCAACCATTTTATGCATTTGTCAATTTTTAACAAACCTGTTTGTGGACATCAGTAGGGGAGAAGTCTCCAAATGCCTCCCATCCTCCATCATCTTCCTCCTCATAAAAACGAATGTCAATATCATCTGGAAATGAAGGAGATGAACATCATTTGATCTAAAAGGATGGGAAGGACTGTCAATCCTTTTTGAAATTTGAAAATCATAATAACCTTTTTGAACTTTATCACAGAGCAGAAAGACCTCTTCTCCTCCCAGCACTGATCCAGATGTTTTGTCCATGCGGGAAATCTTCAGATTCGAAGCATTTGGTGATTCTGGGCAAAAGATCAGCACATTTTACATGAGTTGTAACAAGATTATATAACAACATGTACTTTTCTAATTTACACTGCCGTTTAAAAGTTTGGGTCGGTAAATGTTTTTTTGAAAGAAGTGCTGCTCAATATTTTTGTGGAAACGATAGACTTTTTTCAGGATACTTTAATAAATAGAAAGTTCAGAAGAACAGCATTTATTTCAAATAGAAATTTTCAGTAATTATGTGAAAGCTTTTACTGTTACTTTTGATCAATTTAATGCATCCCTGCAGAATAAAAGTAATTTCTTTCTAAAAAAAAAAAAAGTGACAATTACATTTAAACAGAGAAAATTCTATAATTATAGAACAATTTTACAGTAAAACTAAATTGTAAAATAAAATAAGATGCTAAACTAATTACATTCATAAAAAAAAAAAAAGTAACTTATCAGGTATTTGATTAGTTTAAACTACATATGATATAAAAGAAAATGAGATTTTACTCATATCTTATATATTTTTACATATACAGTATATATTCTCTTTAATCATAGCTTATGCATATTTTAGTTTATTTTGGTAGATGACCCCTCAACTTTGAGGTGAGTCCTTATTAAAAGTTAACTGAATTTCATAAATTCGCTTATGTTGTTTGACAGGACTTACTACTATCATAGATAGGGTTGGAGACAACTGGCTTCAAGGCTCTTGTAAAACTCCCATTGCTGTCCTGCAAGTAAGCAGTGAACTTTAATCTCACAATGTTTAGGTCCGTGCTTTTGCCCAGTTCTCTGGCCTCTTGCAAAATAGCTTGTTCCTCTGCATCTGTATGAGAGTAAGAGAGAGAAAGCGCATCAAATGAGAATGTATGCAGTAAAGAGTTACTGTATGTCCAGTTGAATAATGAAATCACAGACTTACCAGTAAATTTATATCCAGGCTCTTTTATCCTCCTCTTCTCTTCTCTCAGCCTTTTCGTTAATACTTCAACCACTCCTCTCTTAGTGACATGGAGGATGCCTAAATTACTGAATCTAGACATAGAGGATGTGAGGATGAATTAAGATTGAGCAACTACACACAAACATTACACAAAAGCCACAAGCGTCACATGATGATACACTCACAATGCCTTACGCAATTCACTTTAATCATAATAACAAAGAAAGGGATCATATGAGCATGATGAACAGTAATAGTGTTCACTCACTGTGCTGTGAGATCATTAGGCCCGACATCAATGGTGCATATCCCGTTGTCACTACAATGGCGACCCACAAGGCTGTGCGCGTGAACACGTGGGGGGTCTGTGTGTGTCACAAGCTGAATCTCTACGCGAGCGTGACCCACGTAGTTTGACACCTGTAGAGGAAGGAAGTGTGCGTTTAGAAATGTACTGTTAATTTAAAAACTTAATCGCAACAATTACCTGTGGCATAACCCACCTTGACTGTGGGATACGTCCTTCTGTTCCTCTCACTGGAGGCCCCTGGCAGACCACCATGGGATGGGCCCTCACATTCATAACGAAATCTGAATCCTCTCTGTAACGCACACATACAGTGTTATTCACGTAACACCTTACTCACTGATAAAACCCTGTTTTTGGGGAATTCCAGCGCATATGCTTTGGAATTATCCCACATTGCCTGCACATTCAGTATTGTCAAATACAGTGGAAATGAAGCAAATAAAACAACCATATGAAGATTTTTGTACCTGCTTTGGCTCCTCAATTATCTGTAGGTAAGGCCCATGAACTGGAATAAAGATCAGATCATACATAGTAAATTATCCTTATTTTCAAAAGGTAAACGAACAACAAATGAAAAACATCATTAAATACATTCACACAGACATTGTCTGTGGCATAACCCACCTTGACTGTGGGATACGTCCTTCTGTTCCTCTCACTGGAGGCCCCTGGCAGACCACCATGGGATGGGCCCTCACATTCATAACGAAATCTGAATCCTCTCTGTAACGCACACATACAGTGTTATTCACGTAACACCTTACTCACTGATAAAACCCTGTTTTTGGGGAATTCCAGTGCATATGCTTTGGAATTATCCCACATTGCCTGCACATTCAGTATTGTCAAATACAGTGGAAATGAAGCAAATAAAACAACCATATGAAGATTGTTGTACCTGCTTTGGCTCCTCAATTATCTGTAGGTAAGGCCCATGAACTGGAATAAAGATCAGATCATACATAGTAAATTATCCTTATTTTCAAAAGGTAAACGAACAACAAATGAAAAACATCATTAAATACATTCACACAGACATTGTTAACTTACCTGTCTCTGGCACAAAGAGTTCAGGCTTCGCCTCAAAAGGTTCATGCAGATATTGAAGTTCCACCATGAACTGTAAGGACAAAATGTTGGTGTTTTTATATTAAGTATATATTTATAGGTGTTTAAACCCAAACCTTTAGCACAAATCACAATGTGTCTGAGTATGAAAGGATGCACCAATTATAAAATTCTAGCCATTACCAATAAGCCAATAATTATTTTTATGTTGTGATAACTAATAATATGCCCTGATATAAAAATGTAGACTATTTCGTTAAAATAAATATATTAAAAATAACACACTACAAGTGAATTTAAGCATCACAACATTATAATGTACAGTGTGGCTATACATTTTGAGATCTGTAACATTTACATTTAACAGCGTTATTCATTTTTTTAAAAAATTAGCTTTCAAAGTTAGTGTTTGATAATGGTAAAGGTAATCTAAATGTAAAAATCTGAGAAATGAGCATTAAAATGAAATATGCAATATCAGCTAATACGAGAGATAACCGATATGGTCCAAATATATTGTGCCCCCAGCCC